ACGAGGAAGCAGGGAGATGTTGATGAAATGCTGATTCTACGGACAGTAAGAGCTGAAATGAGCTATCGTACTGCAAGGTACTATCTACATCGAGCGTCAAGCTGCCGAGCCCTTGCGCAAAGATTCTCGCACTTTACAATCTTGGAAGCCAAGAGAGTCCACAAAAGCATCTACCTAGTACCGACGGCCCCTGCCACCACGCGTGCCCCGATCCCATCTACCACCACCTCTTCCGCCGCGATTTGGGAAGAAAGACGGGTTTCTGAAACTGTTGTTCTCGTACCACCAGTGATCATCCCGCGAGACATGCAAATCTTCCGACTTCTCCACGTAGCGTTCCTCCTCTTGTCGCAAGAGGTAAAGTCGGCTCTGGCTCAGGGGCATGATTGAGTAGCCAGCGGCGACACTGTCGGTTATGGTGCGTCGAAGAAACGAAGTGAACTGAGGCTGAGAAGGCAAATCCTTGAGACCCATCTTGGCCAAGAACTGCGGAAAGGCGTCGAACTGCTGGATCTCGCGAATGTCCTCGGCCATGCGCGTTGAGGTACCCGGCGGAGGAGCCCCATGGGCGTCAAACAACGAGTCGCGAAGCTCAACCAGGGTCTTACCGGGCGGACGGGCTGCTGCGCTGAACATCTTCAGGAACATCATGAGGCGGTATGAGGTGGGAGAGGCAGCGTATGTCTTGCTGGTACGGTATTCGGAGATCTTGGAGGGTTCCAGGTATGCGAGCTCGGCCATACCAGCGCCCTTCTCATCAAGCATCCAGACGACGTTGCGAATGATGGCTTCTTCGATGATCTCATACGTCAGGTCTTCGGTAAGTCCGTCGTCGCAGATGAGAGCTGCTATGAGAACGTGACCGAGATCGGGGAAGTTTGCCTTGTTGCGCGGACCGGCCATGAAGCGTCTGATCGTGTTGTTGGCACTGTCAGTGATGTGAGAGTTCTCGATCGCCAGGCATAGCAGTAGGTGGAAGAGACCGAAATACGCGTCGACGGCCTTCTCTGACGCGTGACTCAAGGTGCTGCGTGCGTCAGGGCCGCTGTAGCTCTCCGCATCTGATGAGAACTGAACGACAACGGTGTTCATAGTATGATACAGGATATCCACATAGCAAGCTCCAGGGTTCGTGATGTTCGCAGTCCTATGGATATCCAGCGTGCTCTCCATCACATGATCTCTAACTTGATTCCAGTGGCGTCGGCTCAGGGGTAGAGGTAGCCAGATATCGAACTTAACACCCTGAACGCTGCGTCGGATGTGGTGCTTGTAGAACGCCTCGTGACTCAAAAGATCAAACTCTGTTCGGAAGACCGGCCGGTTACCGCCTGTCACGGCGATACCAATACCAAGCTTGGCGTCGAGGAATGATTCTTTGAGACAAAAGCATTGCAGCTCGCGAATGCGGATGAAGTCGTAGGAGTTCATCTTGTACTTAATGAAGGGAATGGCGTCGGCAAAGGCCAAAACGTCAACGGTCTTGGAATTGCTGAGGATCTCGAGAAGGATCTCGTCTGGTAGCCTAAACAACCCCGAGGGGCCTCTCTGATGCTGGCTAGGGGCTGGGGCGACAACATCTCGTCTGGGTGAGTCGACCTCCATTCCACCAGCTGGTACTGGTGACGAGTCTTCTCCAAATCTACACAGAGAGCACTTGAAGCGATCTTCTCCCAACGTTTGAGCTTCTTGCTGCCGATACCAAGCCAGATCGACAGTGCGATTACCATGATCTTGCTCTAGCGAATCACTAGAGAAGAAGCTCAGCAGCTGGATAGCGATACCCTTGAGGGTATACGCCGGCGTCCAGCCCTCATCGGTGTTCAGCATGGTGGCGCAAACATAGTCGCTGAAGACGTTTGGATGGATGATTGCGCTTTGGATCGTGACGTCGGGCGCCACCAGCGGATATCGGCCGGTGAAGCGGATCTTGAGGTGGAGTGGCTTCTGTCCTTCCGGAGTGAGAACAAGACACGCTTTTGTGATGTCGTTGTCCTGGAAGTGAATGCGGACGTTGGGATAAGGATCTTGTTCGATCTCCGCGATGTCCTTGAGGAGGCGACGTCGCAGTGAGCGTGACTGAACCGTGTTAGCTTGGTACTGCGTCATGACGACGAGGTGCTGCGAGGTTGCGGTCGCGAGGTTCGGTTCCGTCAAGAGAATGACAAGAGACGTTAAGAGGAAAGAAACAGAGGTTATAGCGCGCATTCGAGTTGTCAGTTGCTGCAGGTGGTCCAGGCTGAGTCATGCACGTGACTAGGCAGCACAACAAACAAACGGAAGTGTGGGTCTTGACGCCCTTTCAGATTGATGGACAGCTATCAAACCTGTCTGATACCGCATTGAAAGGATCGCATGACCAGTCTTCTGCTCCCAAAGCATCTACTGAATGGCTTTGTGCGGACAGGCAAAGGGGGCCTGAGTTAGCTATATCCAAGACTAGTGGCTTCGAGTTTATCATAACGCAACGCAATCCCCACGGCCTAAAAGTCATCTCTGGTGCTATTATGTCATTGGAAAGTCTGTTTGAATGACACATCCCAGTGCGCCTTAACCAAGTGGTCCAGAAAAGGGCGTCAAGGTAGCCAGCTAGGGATGGCTTGCTAAGGTTGAGTAGTGCGACTGGGTGAATAAAGTCCCATATTCTCACAAAGTGTCGCATTTCTTTGGTCTGCATGATGAACTGAGATGAGGAAAAATGGCTGGAGGAATTCAAGGAAGTCATATGGCTGGATGGGGTCATGTCATCAGTGATGTCTACACTTAGGACTCGTAAGGACTTACTATGTAAGAGTATAGTGATATGAGAAGGAGACTATAAATACATCGTCTGGATGAGTTGAAGTGCGTCTGGCACGTAGAAGTTGTGTTCGGGGCCAAATGGATGAATACGAGGGCCAAATTAAAGCTGAACCCTCGTGCAACAAGAGGCAGCGCGGACCGCCTCAATATGTAGAGCTATGCGAGCAACGCGAGGATGAAACTCGTAAGGGACATATCTGTTGGACGAAGTTCTCGAATCTGCATCTATCGGGGACTACAGAAATAGAGAAAGTGAAGGAAGAAATGCGGACCCCACAATAGTTCTTGCATCGTGCGACTGGATGACACGACGAATGCGAGCGCCTGCAAATATGAAAGAGGGGGATATCGCAATTTGGGCTATAAAGAGCCGTTCGCAGTCGTCTATGTCCTTCCTTCGATCAATCCAAACTTGTTCGTATCTTCTCCTGCCAACCATCGAAATCAGTACATCATGAAGCTTACGACCGTTGTGCTCGCTCTTTTCTCATCGGTCACCTTGGCCGCTCCTGCGGCCCAGATGGACAAGCGCGCCGTCGTTGACGCAACTGTCGCCGTCGACGGGCTGCGCTATCGAACGTGCCCGAAGACGACCTGCTCGGCTCCGGGTCAATATCCCAAGGGTACCAAGATCAAATTAAGCTGCTACACCACGTCTGGTACTACTGAGGTGGATGGAGACAAGTAAGTCATGACGTGACTTGGGAAGAACTCTTGTGCTGACATGAGTGAAGGCGCTGGGCCAAGGTCTCCGGAGGTGTTGGCAATGGCCGATGGGTATCGTTGGCGTATATGGATTGGCCTGGTGCGCTCAACCCGTGGTCAATTCTCTGCGGGAATACTGTACTGATCCGACATAGGAACGATTAGCGGTTGCTGATATGGCGTGCTGCAAACGGAGGTAGTACGGCCACGATGCGCTTCTCGCTCACTCGGTTTCGCGACCACCTTCGCGATAAGTTTGCTGATATTTGGTGGATAACGCAGTCGCTAGCTATGGTTCAGAATATGCCTTCTAAACCAACACTCCAGCTTTTCCCCAAGTGACTTGTGCGTCGGATGATGATCGTGCCACGAGCTTGTGACCAGTGATTGCTACATTCTTCCACTTCAGACTTGTGCAATTGATGGTGCCCTTGAACTTGCGACAATCGTTGCCAGAGAAGACAATGTACCCCAAATCTGTCTCGTTATGTTCGGGTGCCTTGGAGGCATTGTGGCTGGAGTCTGTAGGGCTGCCGCTCCATCGCAACCAGAACTTTGGTGAACGGAAGCTGTTCTTTTCGAATGTTTCGAAGCGAGTCCTCTCGGGAGACTCCGGCTCCGTGTTTTCGCTCTCTTCTTCGTCCTCTTCCTCATCATCCTCTTCGTTTGATTCATCTGGTTCTATCTCTGCAATCGTTCGCCGAAGACTGTCACGACTGCCAGCTAAGATGACTGAGGCTTGTAACAAGCCCGGCAAAGACAATTGGCCCACGACACCCTCGCCGGCTTCGGTCAAGCGATACAACTCCAGCGATGCATCTTGTTCTGGCTGCGTATCCCCAGTTGCGCCCAGGGCCTTTTGCCATGCCGGACATTTGACAGAATAGCTTGCGAATGTCTTGTGAACGTCGAATGCGCTCGTATGTTTGGATTTTCCACTGCGGCCAGTGCGGTTGTGCATGTGCCGCGTCGAGAAGGCGGCGTCTTGCCAGTCGTCCATTGCAAAGGAAACTGGATGTTAGGGCTCTAGAGTCAAAGATTGTTTGAATGGTGTTCGTGGGCTCATGTGCCTCGTTGCCAAAGAGAGGTTGACGTCATAGACTAACTGGATCCCAGCCTCAGGGCCTAAGGAAAGCGAGTGATGGTCCTGGTGTCTCTGGAATGCCACAGTGGGAGAAGCATAAAGCATGTCAGGACGGCGATAGGGGTGCATCGCGGGGCATGCATACTCCGCACTTCCAACCTGCTTATATTAGTCGGGTCACTCCCACAACGGTAGTCATGTGCTGGTGGCTGGACCAGCCATTCTGCATCTGTCATGACGGGCTTGTCAGGTCTTGCCGTCCCGGGCACAGTGTGCCTATCATCGGGTTTGGGAAAGAAGTTGATGGCGGTATGTCAAGGGTCAAGGGTCAGGTGGGCCGCACGTGAACAGGCGTCGCAATTCGGGCGTCGCGAATCGCTCCGTCAGCGCAGACCAACAAACACCAACGATGGCACCCAAAGGGTCTAAGAAGTCGGCGGCTGCAGCGCCCAACAAGACGCTCGTCCTGGACAATGGCGCATATTCGATCAAAGCCGGTCTAGTCTCGCCAGCCTCGGAGCCTACCTACGACGACTGCAGTGTCATTCCCAACTGCATCGCGCGCAGCACACGCGACAAGTGCACCTACGTCGGCGCCGAGCTCGATTCGTGTAAAGACTTTGGAGAACTGGCGTTTCGCCGTCCAGTGGAAAAGGGCTTCATTGTCAACTGGGAGGCGGAGAAGGCGATATGGGAGCATGAGTTCATGGGCGACGCCGTGGGGGAGGGGTTGAGGGTGGGTACGCACAGTCGCGAGCTCGTGAAGGGTGTGAGAACTGACAGAACGCAGTGTGACCCGAAAGACACAAATCTGGTCTTAACAGAGAAGCCAAACTGCCCGAAAGAGCTGCAGAAGAACTGCGACGAGATCATCTTCGAGCAGTTCGAGTTCGCGGCCTACTACCGATGCGTTGGCGCGACACTCAATGCCTACAACCCTCCCACCGCGTCCTCGTTGGCATCGCTACCGCAAGAATGCCTCCTCATCATCGACACATCGTACTCAGACACGACCGTCCTCCCTCTCTACAATGGCAAGCTCATACAATCGGCTGTGCGGCGGCTCACAGTCGGTGGGAAGCTGCTCACAAATTACCTGAAAGAGCTCTCCTCGCTGCGGCACTACAACATGATGGAGGAGACATACCTGCTCAACGAGATCAAAGAAGCAGTCTCGTACGTCGTGCCATCATCGCAGCAATTTGCCAACGATCTGGAGCGCACTTGGAAAGGACGGCTGGGAGATAAACGAGAGCTGGATTCGAGCATAGTGGTCGACTATGTGCTGCCGGACTACGAGAATGCGATACATGGGCATGCGCGACCCCACGACCCTGCAAAATCACGCATGCGCCGAGGGCTACAACCGCTACAAGGACCAAGAGAAGATCTGCTGCCTCTAGGCAATGAGCGCTTCGCCGTGCCCGAGCTCCTCTTCAACCCTTCCGATATTGGCATCCAGGAAGCTGGAATACCTGGCGCCGTCATGGAGTCGCTGAGCACACTGCCAGAAGCTCTACGAATCGGCCTGTTGGCGAATGTTGTAGTGGTAGGCGGGAACTCGTTGATTGCCGGCTTCATGGAACGAATGCAGACAGAGCTGAGGGCTCTGGTACCAGCCGAGTACACGCTGAATGTGGCGAGGGCAGATAAACCGATCAAGCACACATGGCTAGGAGGAGCAAACGTCGCTAGCCAACCCGACTTGTTGAAGGAGTTGCTCGTGTCCAAAGCCGAGTATGACGAGAGGGGCTCTACGTGGCTAGTGAAGAAGTTTTCATGATATACATAATAGACACTTGAACATGACAGTATCTTTCCTGATGCCAACATGTCTAGATCAAAAGTCAAAGTGCAGGCTGAGATCAGACGACGCATGTTCTCCAAAACCATGGGCTTCTCCAGTGCTCGGGGCTGCTAGGGCGCTGATTGGCTCATGTCCGGCGGCTTGGCGTGCTCGTCGACATGTCGAAGGAATTTCCAGCAGACGTGCATCACCCGCATCTCGAACCCAATGCGCCGAATACCGCGCCCCTCGCGGGCAATTGATCCCTCACATCCCCTCTCCGCTTGCATACGGCAAAGAGCCTCGCCATTGCCCTGCCGCCCCGCCCCGTCGCCCTGCACCCATCTCCGCACCCCATCCGCCGCCTTCTCCACAACCGCACCCCAAGCCTTCCTGCTACCGGGCAAACAGGACAAGAGAAAGCACCAGCAATTTGTGCGAAGATGGCAGAAGCGTCTGCTTGGCGACTCGGAGCCTATTGGTGCACACGTCGACCCTTATGATCCCACATCACCGGTCCGCATAGCGCCTGAAGACCAGGGCGAATACGAAGAGGTCCTTGACGAGGAAGCCTCAAGATTCCCCCAATACAAGCCTGCGAAATATCTACGCGGCCTACATCGGGTCGGTGGCGAGGAATGGCTGCAGGAAAAGGTCGAAAAGGACTTGGCTAAGGAATTCGAGAAACTCACGCTACGGACGTACACGCCACTGACACTGGACATGGCCAATGAGATCGAAGAGCTCACGGGCACTCCGTACACTTTGAAGGACGAGAACCTGCTTATGGCGCAAACTGTACACGAGAAGACCAAGCACCCATATACCGACTACAACTTTGGCCTCCACGCCAAAGCTACCCGGATTACCGATATGCGTGCCAGTTTCACACAAGCTGTCGCCGAGATTTATGCCCTGAAGCAGGCTGGTTTAGATATGGACCTATCCAAGTTTGCCAACCGAGGTGTTTACGATCGGCCACGCTGGGTCAAGGACATCAAGTTAGTCAAGACAGAAAGCGGTGAGCTTGCTCTTGCCTTCCCCCAGCACAAGAGCTTGGATGATCTCTTGGAGACGATGCAAACGGCACCCGCTTGGGAGGCTGAGCCAGGGGTATCGGACGAGCTGCTCGTTGAAGAGGTCGTTGAGGAACTTGAGGATGCCGGCCTTGCACAGGAGCAAGTACAGACCATGGACCCCGACACACCAGCACACAAGAAAGCAGCAGTGGTCAAGATGGATGGCGAGAACAAGCCGTTTGACTTCATGTCGAACCGCCCCGTCCCTCGCGCCAAGCCAGTTGAAGCGCCCGTCAAGGAGGCAATTGTTGAGGAAGTGGTCGTTCAAGAAACTACGCCACCTCAAGTTGCTCAAGATGTACCCCAAACCGAGCTTGTTGACCATGCAGCCGACCCGGAGCCCGTTAACCAAATCGCTCCAACTGCAGCGAGCGAGTCGCGACATGCTATCCTCGAAGAGAGAGCGAAGCGTTTGGCGGCTGACTTTGCGGCTCTAAAAACCTCAGTTCAGCAGAGCAGCAGAGATTCGTCTGCTATCAAGCCTGAAGAGACGAAATGGCGGCACGTTCCCGTCACTGACATCAACGTCAAGTTCGCTGTACGTGTATCGACCCTTTTTATTTTACCTTTGCTGACTTATGTAGCTTTACAAACGCCTTTACCAACTTACCGGCTGCCGCATCTCCGATCCACACCTCTCTTCCGCGAACACCCTAGGCGATCTATACAATCATCTATTAGAGGCCGCCAAACCCCAGCCTACCAGTCTCTTCAGCGCTATGCATGTAGAAGGGCAGAAGGCACGTCAGCGAGCGAAGCAGCAGGCCACATCTGATGCCGACGCCAAGAGGAGGGCCGACCTGGGCGATTTGATTAATCTGGGCAACGTCGAATTGCGTCGCGTCAAGCCTACCAAGGTTGAGAAGCGCAGCAAGACTGGTCAGGACAAGGTCATCAGCTATGCTCTATGGGAGCGTGGTCTGGGTTCAGGTATACCGGCTAGGCTTGAACAGATGAAGCAGAAGCAATCGAGGGGAGCAAAGAAGGCACAACCCGAGCGTGGAACTGTCACCCCCTTAACCAGCAAGGCCGCCGGTTTCTTGCTCAGAAAGAGCGGTACCTTGCAATCAGCACGCGCAAAAGCGGTGTAGCGGACAGTTCCTGGAACCATGAATACATTTGCATCCGATGCATGACTTATGCCCAACCATGATCTGAACGGGTCAATACATTGTATAGTATGTACACTAGGAGAGCTGGCATAGTTGATAGCTTCCTTCTGCTGGAGGGCCAAATGAATGCCCTCTGCCTTGCTTCATGCAAATGGCAATAATGTTTCACGGACTGCGAAATGGTCGCGTGACAGAATGCTGCTTCGCACGTGGCCTGTAGGATAGTGTGCTTACCTAGGTACGCATCGGCCTGCTCCGAGAATGCAAATCATCCAGCCGCTCTGTGAACGGCTCGAAATCCTGAAATCATCCCGCTAGTCAGCCACGAACCGAAGTCGCACCTAATCAGCGTACCAACTCCTGATAAGAATCAAGCCATATGCAGGGCTCACACGCAATGCTCCTTACCGAGGGAGTAATCCACGATTGCCGACAGGCTAAGCTTTGCCCAGAAGTGCTTGTCAAAGATAAGAGTGGAGCTACTAGTTCTTCGCAAGCACACAGGCTAGGCGGCATACGGCAATCGTTTTTCTTCGCACCCTGCCATCGGCGTCAAAACGGCTTTTCATGACGCGGCTGGGAGCCGAGTGTGCGCGGTGGGGTAGTTTACTATAGAACGACCATGCTTCGCCCGGTTTGACACTGGATTGGTCTTGTCCAACCCTTTCTGGCCATCTTTGTTTCTGCGTTCTTGTCACGACCCACGCTACCCATGATGTTGTCAGCGGAAAAAGCCCAGGACGAAACCAGTCTCTCGACAGACAGCGGGAGAGGAGTCGGCGCTGCGACAGCCGTCCCGCGCGAAACCGGAATCCTCGCCAAACTGCGCCGGTTCGAAGAGCGATTAGATGCGAAACTAGGTAAGTTCTGACTGTACGAAGTGCATGTGAGACATATACTTACTTCGTACCTCTACCTCTGCAGGCATTGAATCCGAAGCCATCAGTCGCAAACTGCCAGAAGACAAGGGCGACGTGCCATGGCACCACCAACTCAACATGTTCTTCCTCTGGGCCTCGGGCACAATGAACACGTCATGTTTCGCGACGGGGTTCCTTGGACATGAGTTTGGTTTGAGTAAGAACGTACCGTTTCCCGCGCATTTGCAACAGCTCGACTGATTGTTTTGTGTTTTGTAGCGCTTCGCCAGAGTATCGTCATTACCATATTTGCGTCTATCCTTGGTGGCGCGGCGACAGGTTTTGCCGCCACTTTCGGTGCGCCGACTGGGCTGAGGCAGATTTCCATGTCGAGATATGCGTTTGGGTGGTGGCCTAACAAGGTTATTGCTGCTCTTAATACTATTGTGCAGATTGGCTGGGCGTCTGTGGCTTGCATCACGGGTGGTCTGGCACTGACTGCCGTAGCGGATGGCCATATCTCGCTGATCGTTGGTATCGTCATCCTGGCCGTGGTTGCTACGCTTATCTCATTCGTCGGTCTGCGAGCTATTTTGGTCTACGAGCGCTACGCGTGGTTCGTCTTTTTCATCATCTTCATCATCTTCTTCGCCGAGACGGGCAAGTATACCGATAACAGCAATACGCCCAAGCTAAAGGGAGCGGACCTCAGTGGACAGGTTTTGAGCTTGATTGCTATTGTCTACGGTAGTTCTGCATCGTGGCAGACCATGGCATCCGACTACTACGTCCACTACCCCGTTAACGTCTCCCGCTGGAAGGTCTTCCTCATGACCACCTTCGGTATCGCTATTCCTACTTCCATCGGTATGCTGGCGGGCTGCGTCGTATCATTCGGCATGAACAACCGACCAGACTGGCAAGAAGTGTACGACAACGACGGCCTGGGCTTTCTCATCCAAACCATGCTTTACCCACGCGGTTTCGCAAAGCTGATCCTCACGCTTCTGGTCCTTTCCGGCATCAACGTAAACGTTATATCCATCTACAGCGCCGCCATTTCTTGCCAGCAATTTTCCCGTCCTTTTGCACGCGTTCCCCGCTTCATCTGGATTCTGGTCTGTTTCGCTGCCATCCTCGGTCTCGCTATTGGTGGCCGTGAGCAACTGAGTGTTTACCTGCAGAACTTTCTCAGTCTGCTCGGCTACTGGACTACTCAATACTTTGTCATTCTGTGCAGCGAGCACGTTATCTTCCGTCGTATGAACTTCGATAATTACGACTTAGATGCATGGAACGATCCCAGTCGTCTGCCGCTGGGTATTGCTGCCGGCACCGCCTTCGCCATCGGAATCGTCGCGTGGATCCTTGGCATGGTCGAAACGTGGTATGTCGGTCCGCTAGGTGGGCTCATCGGAGCTGACGGTGGTGACATTGCGAATGAGTTCACATTCGTTGTGACTGCCCTGGTGTACATACCTGCGCGGTATCTCGAGAAGAAGATTGTTGGGAGGTAGGGATATGGGCTGCCAGAGTAGGAGCATTGTAAGTGTCTAGGCACGGCACTGCCAAGAAAGGCTTCAGACGTGTTGATGACGAAGAATCGATAACTCATCCATGGTCAGACCTTTTGAGAGTGACTTCGTACTTCGACTGCACAGGAACTGCATCATATTAGTGAACGCTGGGCCAGCTGCGACAAAGCGGCGCAACTCTCGGTTTCTCGACTTACACGTTGCCAGTTACCTATGAGTACCTTCAAACTTCCCAAGCTCTCTTCGCAATCGTATACATAGCGTCTCCTTTCAGCAGGCTGACCATCCATTTGCCATCCGGAGACTCCTCGCCGCCTAATGCCTGCCCGGCGGTGATCACAGCCCACTGTACCATGGGTGAGACAAAGTCTGTATCTCCTCGCGCACGTTTGTGTTGCAGATAGTCAGTGATGCAGCGGGCAATATTGAGCCCTGCTGCACGGATGGCAGGATAGTAAGAACTCTCGGTCACAACATCCGCGCCTGTGCCGCCCTGCATGTGATCGCTCGGAATGTCTTGTGTGCCGTTGGTTTTGCTTCCTAAAGTCGCCATGACACGGAGGGTGTAGATCAATGCGGTGTTGTACAACATCAGCATCCGTGCAACAGAGTCGCTCATGAACCGGTATATAATGCGTGGCGAAATCTGGGTACTGGTCGGATCAAGACACTCTTCTTCGATATGGACGTTCTCCTCATTGCTATCCCATCGTCGTTTCCACGCTCGAAGAAAGACCAAGGTCCCATCTGCCTTGCATTGCATTTCCTGTCGCCGTTGAATATAGCTTAAGCCAGACGCATGCTGAAGCTTGAAGAGCTCGTCACTCGCAGCTATTAGCACCGAACAATCTGCGAGCACGTCATGCAAGTCTTGTTCATCTGGAGTTTCCAGCGAGAGCGCTGTTCTCAGTACAGCTTTCCACTGTGGTCGCGCAAAGATTGATGGCGTTCTGTTCCTCAATGATGCTATCAGTATCATATGCCGCACACCTTTGTACAGCTCAAGTGTCCGAAATGACGCGTGAACCAGGGATGCTGGGTCACGTAATGCCAGGAGCTGCTCCATTCCAAGCATGTGCTTGAGCCAATTTCTTGGTCCAGTGGGCATGAAAAGTTCAAGCATAGCCAATAGAATGACGGAAACGATTACGTCGTCATGCATACGGCGTTCTGGCTGGCTCAAAGCCTGATTCAGCCGCTTGAGAGCTACACCATGTATGGCATAACCTTCGGCGAGGATCCCACTCTGGTGATGCTGCGCGCCGAAGAAGAGGGTTGCAAAGCTGAGTGCGGCTTGAACAAATAATGGGCTGCTTGCTCCTCTTACGGCGTAGTTGTCCGTGACAATGTCTGAGGGCTGAAGTTCCTGTAACCCTAGGTCTATGGGACCGTTGGGTAGAAGATGGCGGCGTGCATAACATATGCAAACTTCTTTGTCGTTGAATTTAGGCCTGATTTCAGGGAGGTCGAAGCGGTGTTCAGGAGATTCCGAGGTAGACTCTTCTACTTCTTGCCTCTTCCAGACAGTCGTTACAGGCGGGTCCGCCGCCTTGCTCTTCAACTTCTGTGACCTCCTAGACTTGACGATTTTGCCTTGCACAAAGACGATCGACTGTGGACCATCGCATTTGAAGCCAGCCTTTTCGCATCTCTGACATGTTGGGCGAGTCTCATCTTTAGTAGGGTCAGCCTGAGGTCTAATGTGCACGACGTTGGCGCTTACCGCACTTGATACGGCGCCTGCGGCAGGTTGAGCATCCTTTCGAACGGCCGGCTACATTGACCATGATCTAGACTTTGTTTTTGCGAGATGCATGTGGATGAGACGAATGCGGTACATTGGACGAGGTGGCTGAAGAGGCAGGCGGGGAGGTCATGGGCTGACATGGGGGACATCGGCCTAATCTGGGTCAAGCTAAACCGCTTGCGGCTCATTGGGCGAGATGCCTCGACCCCTAAGACGTGCCGCACCGCCCCTTCTTGCGTTCTTCCATCAACCTTCCAACGCTAACGCGCAGAGAGTCTCCCAGACCCCCTTGCAGTGTAAAGCCACACTGATATGTATGCGCGCATTGAGCCGCAAAAGGCATAGGTATATCATGATATCTTTCGTCCGCTCACCAGCTGTAGATATGGATTCGTACGAAGGCGTCACGCTATCTGCGATAAATATCATCACTGCATCTCCTATCGTCACATTAAGGTTCGAGTTTGTCTTCGTCGGAACAAATCCTATCCATTGAACTTACCAAGTGATCGTCGCTCTTCGTCTGCCACCTCACAGCTATGACAGTCACAGCAAGCATCGACATCGCATCCTCACCGGAAGCCGTCCGCGCAAAAGTACGAGCTTCACCTTTTCCGGCCTGATACAAAGCTTATCAGTTGCAATGCTTACGAGATTCCCAGTTTCTCGACTTCGCATCCCTCCCCAAATACCACAAAGGCTTCTTCGCTTCTCTGACCCCACTCGGCCCCGTCGAACCCGAGAACAAGATACGCGTTGTCTTTTCATCGGGACAAAAGATGTATGCTCCAATAGAAGTACGTCATATCTGTATTTGACTATGACGCGACATTGTCTAATAGAGTTCGTAGCATAACACACCAACCTCTTTCGCGTGGACAGGGTCTATACCGCTTCTGTTCACAGGTACGCATTCGTTCACTTTTGAGCCAAGTAGTACTATTCCAGGTGGCACAAAGTTCACGCAAGAAGAAGTCTTCAGCGGCGCGCTGTCCTTTCTCATGGGTGAAAACGCGGTGGCACGAAAGTTCGGCTTCCCGGAAAAGACGAAGAAAGGATGGGAGGGCTACAACAATGACCTGAAGGCGTGGTGTGAAGCGAAGTGATGCACGCAACCGTTCGATGTCTATTGTTTCGAGTATCTGGAGTTGGGGAATTCCCTTTATGTTGAGTAGGATATAGACTGCCATAGACTTCCATGCGTAACGGTTCGTTCTCTTTGGCGCTCACGTTTCCTGTTTCATGCTTTGACCATGATCTTCCGCCCCTTGAATGCCACCCGAGCAGCAATAAGCAACAGCACACATCCGAATAACAAACATCCTCCGAACACCCACAAGCTAGCAAAACCACTCTTTTCTTGAATCGCACCTCCGATCGGCGTTCCAATAAGCAGTCCCACGCCCACGACAGCGAAGGCCTGACCCATTCTTGTGCCGACCTTGTCTCGCGCGTCACTACTCAGCTGAACTACAATGGCGGGTGGAAGCGAGACGAACGATCCAGAGAAGAAGCCGTAGAATGCCATGAGTACTATAATGCCGGCGGAGGAGGTGGCACCCATGAAGCATATGCAGAGAACGCCAGAGATGATGCAGCAGGGAATTACGACGTTGAAAGGGCCGAGTTTGTCGGAGAACTGTTACGGAGAGAAATTAGTAACTCCAGGCCAAACAAAAGTAGTATCCAGAGGGTGGCGGAAAAGCTTACCAAGTTCGGTACTATACGCCCAAAGACACTCGTACTATTCATGATGGCGAGGAGATAGAATGCCATACTCTCACTCGTAATATGTTCCTGGATAGCGTAGGTTTGTGCATAGAAGAACGGCATATATAAGCCCATGAAGCCAAGGAAGAATCCCGCGACCATGAGACTATATGACGGCATCCGGAATGCACGCAGGTCGAGAAGAGAACGCGATTCCGCCGGCAGAACCCGGACGCGCATGCAAACATTGGGTACAGTCATAGTGGCGAGGACAATGAAGCCGAGCACCCGTGTCGTCCAGGCGAATCCGATTTGAGAAATGAGTTTGTGGAATACAATGGGATAGATGACTCCGCCAAGCGATGACCCAGCTGCGGCAATTCCAATTACTGTTCCGATTCGGGTAGAAAAGTAGGTTGAAAGGATAGCCACACTAGGGATAAACAGACATCCAGTCCCAATACCGATGCAGAACGCTTGTGCGAGAAGGACTTGCCAGTACGTATGGCATAGACTGAGCATCATCTGGCCCAAAACCAACATGAAGCTTCCCACGATGAGCAGTGCGCGAAAGTAGCCTGCGTCATAGATGGGACCAGTGAGTGCGCCGACCAAGAGGAGCAGGAACGCCTGTATAGACCCGATCCAGGATATGGCTGAAGCACTCGAGCTGGCGAGCAAATTCGTTTCGTAATATGTTTGGAATGTTCCGAATGTGTTGATAATCTGTGCTGTAGGGTCAGTTCAGGTCTTTCATGAAGTCTGTACGTGGTTTTGACTTACGCCCCAAGAGTTAAACAACAGAAAAAACGCCCCGAGGACCTGCAGCCATGCCCACAGTCCACCATTAGGTATTTTGGACGCGTCATTCACATTAGGTTGACTCGATCGCGCAGGTTCCAGCCTGCTCTCGGCTGTATTTTCATCGTCCTTGTCCTCTATCACGCGCTCCTTGTGTGTGCTGCGCAGTGAATTCAAAGTCGCATACGATGGCTGATGTCTTGGATCCTTCGACGACTCCGCACTGTACTGCGAATTCAAGGTCGCAAGGGATGGCTGTTGACTAGGTCCGCCAAAGTTCGTCAACTCATAGGAAGCCGGTCCAGTCTGTCTACCGGGGTCCAGCGTCGATACGTTCGTAGGTGGCATACTGGGCCTGTTCCCGCTGCCAGTGTAGCTGTCGCGAGTGGAAGTGTTGTCGCTAGGTATCAAGACGGAGCAGTGGCCCGGCAGTGAGTGTCCAACGAGGTTCTTGTTCGAGAAATGGGGTCCTTAAAAACGGAAACTACCAGTAGCAACGCTTGCTGAGAGGCACACAAGCAGGAGATGACGGATAGAATAATCAAAGAGTTGGCAGAACGCGGACTTAGAAAGACGTCTAAATGAGACGTGAATGAGAGACAAGCAGCCCCAGGAGACCATATATCAAGCTTCGGAGTTGACTGGGGGCATCGGCTAGAAAGGGTGCAACACAGACCTGGGCTGCGCTACACTTCCTCCTCTTTCGGGCATATTCTCAAGCAACCGACGGCTCGCTCCAGCCTTGGAAGTTGAGGCTGAGGAAGACATGGCGAAACGTACTTGCTAAGGTTTGTCCAACACTCCGTAATCCAATCGGGGGATTTCGTTATGAGGAACGATCCGGTTTCATGCTTTAGTCAAAACCTTAGGGAGCACAGCCTTGCAGACAACGGCGCGCCACGTGCGAGGCAACAGGCACGTCATGAAACTTTCCTGATTGTTATCTCCGCATTACAGCCGTGCAATTCCGGCCGAGACAGGGCTGTATCCCATCGTCGTACCTTCCAAGAACACTGCGCTTCGCATATGTAGTCTGCTGATACCCTGATGCTATTTTTCCGCCCTTCAGCGCGGCCTATCTAACCCGTGAGATTTCATCCTCCACCTTTGTATACCGCGCTGCGTCTGATTCCGACACATTTGCCTAAGACGCCGCCACCATCGTAGAGAAAAGAAAACATTTATGCCGTAATGATGTACAAATCAAAGTCAAGCTGGCATGCTGTCATGATCTTGGGGAATATGCTTCGTCACATCGTAACGTACTTTTGGTGACCGTAGGAAAGGTTTTGGTGGAAGGACTCGCTCACAACGCCTGCGTGAACGCCCATGAACGCTCACTATGCTTACACCCTAAGGAAAGAACCGACCTGGTTTGTATGTCGCCGGCCCGAAAAGTCGTGCCGAATGTCGAATGCTGACATGGGAAAGAACTAACGTCGTCGAGGCTCCACTTGTTCGGACTGCTCCTCATGTGTCGCTGGCGACCCGTTTCGTCGCCAAGCGATGGCCGGAAGGGTGAAGAGATGATGGCTCGACTTGCTCCACGCGTTCTTCAAGATACACGTTGTTCAAGAGGCCGGCTGGAATGGTACCATCTTGGCTCGGCTTCAACTGGCCCGCCGATGCCTTTTGGCGCCGATTCTCACGCTCATTGACTACTTCGCGCAAGATCTTAGTGGCACCACTCCATCCGAGTTGATTCGCTGTTGCCCGATGATTGAAGAGCCGTTCCACGAGTGGAAGTGGCAGAGATAGCAGAATAGTCGACAGCACGACGGTCGCGTGGCTAGGACGGTGATCATCTTCCGGTGGCGCGTCACCGAACCGAATCTTGCTTAGCCTTGGGTTATGCGCGGCGTTACGTGGTTCAACGAGTGCTGGCAGACGTGGAGCATCTGAAAACTCTGGCGCTATCGCGTACAATTTGAAGTCGGCAGGGAAGGTGTAGGCGATGAACTCGAGAGCGTGATTGAGCAGCATTGAAATGAAGGGGTCTTCTGCATCGGGACCTTCACCTCTTGATCGTGGCCCAGAGCTGGCCTGCAGTGTATATTGCAGTACCTGCTCGACAGTATCCCATCGGAGAAGCATCCGTGCGATCTCAATACCGCGCGCCTGCATGCTAGGCATCTGGAGAGTCCTTGCTGCCGCAATGTAGCTCAGAACTTGTCGCATGCGCATGCGGGCGTCGTTGGAAGGGGACGCTTGGTCGTTCTCGTACATGTAAGGTGCAAGGCCGAACAGGAAGGTCTGGGCAGAAAGGAGCGGGGCGCCATACAGAACCCTGACAGCTTCCTCTAGGGATTCGCCGGTAGTGAAAGGGTCGAGCGCAAGGACATCGACCAGTCGGCGCGCGTCTCTGCTGCGGTGGCTGGGGGCCGGGCTGCGACGAATTGCTTCGGCTATGACAGGGCTCCGCACGACTACGATGCCGTGAACTGGTACTGACATCAGAATGGACTCAGGTGACCGAACTTGGAGGATGAAGTCGGCGAATTCGGGGTTGGCGAATTGGATTGACAAATAGCTGGCAAGTTCAAACGGCGACTCCTCGAGGCGTTCGGTAGGAGGGGCAGTGCCATTCTGGTAGGGCATGGCATGATGCTCGTCCCCGTGGTCTGATGTGGGTACCGTGTCGCCAAATTGTGCCTTGCTCGGTGACTGCGAGTGCGAGGTGCGGGTACCGTTTGCGACAAAAGCTGCCTGTTCCGGCGAGAAGTGACCGTTGGGAGGACCCGGATAGAGGACAGGACCGCTGGGAAACTGCGAGGGTCGAAACTCGGAGCCGTTTGCGTAGGCAGCTTCAGGCGGTGCGACTGCTTGTGGCGGCACATGCCAGGGCGCTCCTGCCTCTGAGGGATGCTGGGCGTGGCCGGGGAAGAAGGGCGCAAACTGCTGGGGACCGAACCCAGGCGGGGGACGTGGCAGCGCGTGCTGTTCGTGCTGGTGCAGCTCTGGCTCTTGAGGAGCCACAGGAGGTGCCGGTGACTCATTCGCGCTCTGGAAGACCAGAGCACCAGCACTGAGCTGGTGGCGGTGCGAGGAAGTGTGAGCGCTGTCGCTGCCTTCTGTGGGCGGTGTCTGCGTGTCCGTCTTGTTCGAGGGATAGAAGGGCGGAGGCAGGTGGGCGGGTATGGTCAGTTTGCGGTGCACTCCGTTCGTGACAGGCTTGGGCTCGGCGCTGGGCTCGGCGCTGGGCTCCACGGGCGCGGGAGGCTTCTCGTCGGCATGGCCGTTGACGTGGTTCTCTGCATCTTTGGAGTTCAGTACGTGCTGGGTCAAAGAAGGAGCCGGCAGTGAATGCTCACCATGAGTGTCTGCCGGTGCCGAGTGGCCATTCTGCAACGGGCCAGGCGCGGCGGTTGCATCGAGCTCTCTCTTTTCTGCGCCCGAAGTGTTTGACTCTGGCGTAAGAGGAGTCTGCACCGCCTCGGCCTGCTGGTTTTCAGTTTGCTCTTGTTCCTGCCTCTCGTGCGCGGATTGCGGCTCCGGCTGCGGCTTAGCTGGTTGGGCGACACTGTCCTTGGTGGAGCCGTCTGGTGTGATGGGTCTGGCTGATGGCTGAGACTTGGACAGACGGTAGGGGATGGCAGGCACGATGCGCGAGCCTGGGCGCCGGTGCTGCTTCTGCGCCGTGGCTGCGCGTGTGGTGTCGGCCATGTTTGCTGGGGCGTGCGGAAGAAAGTGCGACTGGGGATTCGGAAGCGGCTCCAGGTAATTGCGGCCTGCTGCTTGTTGCCAATTATCCTGGAGCGCCCTGGGACGGGAGAAGTGTGCGGCGAGGGTATTTGCTACGTGGGGTTAGTCGACAGCAGAGAAGTCCAGGCAGAGATGGAGACATGGCTTCCCCACCAATTTTAGCTGCACACCTCTGACCTCATGGCCATAGCTTAAGCTCCATTTGTCATCCTCCACCGCCCACACTGAAACACCACCACTTTCTTTGTTCCCTTTTCTCTACATACGCGTTGTCGTCGTGCTGCTTAAAGAGACTATTCTACTGGTTGTCGGAAATTACGCCAGTACATGTCGTGCTGATGGGTCATTGACAGTCAAGGAGAGTCTGCAGACGGCGACCCTGCAATGCAGGGCAAGCTTCTGCCAGAAGATGTATTCTGTACAATACAGCATATCGGCTGACTAGTAATGCAAGCGAATACTGTTTATCCGTTTGCTCTCACTCTATCTAGGTGGCTACCTGTGCATTCCTGCCGACAGCTCCAGTCGAAGCGACTAATCATGCAGAGCATCATGATATTCATATCGACTCTGAACTCCACCGGGTGTACCTTCCTGCTCCAGACATCAAACAGAACGCTCGAACTGGAAAGAGCCACTGACTGACCGCTGATGGAGAAGGCACTACCTCAAGGCAGGACGAACAGCGCTCCTTTGCAGGGCAGTAACGCCCCTCTTAGCCACATGGCACCCTTATCGCCATGGCTGTCCTTCCGAGTACACCTCAATCTTCTTCTTTGCTATCGCACGATAAACCGAAGTACTGCACCTACAGCTCCGTCACCTTCTCCCGTTTGCCCTATATTTCCTAGTCCAACATTGCCTTTCGTTACACCTCTAGCATGATCCTAGGACAGGCACAACCGATCCGCAATGACAGAACCTCGACGCGATTCTCCAAGCCTGCGCGCCCGTTGAAGGACGGTCGCTGCTCAGATTGTCGAGTACGCGACACCAGAGCCATTTCCGCTAATTACTGCTTGACTACCTGTCCTCATGAGCATGATTTCACTCCTACGCGTACGTTGGCACTAGATGGCATGCGCTTTGACGGCTTCTAACATTTATAGCGAACAAATTCAGCATCCTAGCAGAGCTCCAACACTCGCCCACCGAACCAAAGTGGAATTTCGATTTTGTTCCCACCACTACCGGAAGCACGAGGCGGCGAGGCAAACGGGGAGGAAAGCGCCATAGAAGCAAAGACTCATCTACCAAGAATACTGAACGATGCGAAAATGCAAACATTAGCGCGTTGTGCAAGACCATGGCTGCTTTGCGTCTTAACGAGGATGAGCCGATTAAACCAGGGATGGACGACACTTCTAGCCATAGTCGAAAGGCCGCACCTATCAATCCTCCGTGTTTCGATATCGACAGACCTTCTTGGGCCCCACAATTTCTTCCAGATTCAACAGCCACTGCAACAAGCCAGTCCCAGTCCTCCCAGATCAAAGCACTGCGGTCTCAAATGTCCTCTAATGGCGCAGCGACTAAGCGGCAGAATTCTCAGTTCTTCCCAATCTCCGCTTTTCTTGCCTGTCCCGATCTTTCAGGACGGTTTCCATCCAAGTCTAAATTTCTAGAATCAAAGGCTCCTGAAAAAGTTCCGCAACCCTCAGAGTCTTCAGTCCCTCCTCCTACATCCTCGTCCCACGCACAACACGCCGTAACAAAAGCAGCACATCGTGCACTCACTTCGAGGAGTCTACAGACCAAGCCTACCACATCCACTGACGAGTCAGATATCCAGCAAAAGGGACCACCTCTTCTCCCAACCGTGGCGAATACCCCTTGTACGCCCTGTCCTCTCAGTCTTGTCAACATGTCCTCCAACATGATTGAGCCAACCTTTGTATCCCCTTCTGGTGCATCTCAACCCACCGAACCCGAGACAGCGAATGGAAAAATTGGAACTCCATCCATTGCACATGGCCTTGGGCGGGAACCTCCATTTTTGGACGCCGAAAAGATGAACGTCAACCCGCGTTTTCACGGCTGTTGGCAACGCCGTTCAATACCAACTCCAGCAAAGGTTCGTCAGTCGGAAACGCTGATGAGCTCGGGTCATGCGCGTATCAGGCTGTCACCGCAAGAAGTGACTGTTCCAGCAAAGCCCCACGCGCGTTGCTATATTCCTCAGCAACCCGGTCGAAAGTCCAAGTTCTTTGCCGACGGCAAACTCATCGCGCGCGAGAGCACCTCCACAGCCCAGCAGCCCGTACTCGGAACCCCATCGTTTGGAACAAGCTCATCCACTTCTCCTGCTCCCGAAAGCTCTTCTCGTCCACCCTTTGGGGACCCGTTCAAAACGTCGGAGGCAGAACATCCGTGGAACGCTTATCAATGGTATACTGCGCTGTCGGACAAGCCTGCAGCATCTAGCGCGTTCTTCTCAGATATTTTCACATCGCCCAATACGCGGAATGATGAGGACAGCATCCCACAGCGCTCACCAAACCTCGACATCAGCCACGTGAACTCCAAACCATCCACGCAAGACAATCACAGGGCCACAATCTCCAAAGTGCTTGCACTCCTTGAAGCTGAACATAAAGAAAGCGTCTCCAAATCAGACACCGATGACTTCGACACTGTTAGTCTTCTTTCCGAGTACGATATCATCGATCCGGCAACTACGAAGTCCATGGCGGATTCCTGGGAGGAAGTACCTACACCACCCGAGACTACGTTTGATGTCGAACCCATTGACGACTCCGACTGCGACGATGAAGATGACGAGTATTACTCTGAGTCTTACTTCCAGTCTCACTAGGAGGAGACACCCGCCACACCTACCAGTGCTGCACGATGGACGAGTGATGGTGCCAGCACGAGCGCAGTGGAATGGCCTACTTTGCAAGAGGCGATGAAATTGCGACATACTGGAGTTGACGAGAGTACGAGTCCGACGAAAGATGACGACGAGATTAAATATTGGGACGGTGTTACAGATTGGTTCATGTGAGGTCGCACGCTTGTATAGTGAGTGCGTCTCGTTGATGTCGACTTCGAGAGTGTTGCGGCTATGATGGTGTTAGTTTGGGATTCCGTGTGGGTCTGCTTGAATCGTGTTGTCTCTTTCTGTCTTTGAAATCCCTAGAACAATGGCAGTATACATTTGATCGTGCGTCTGACGTCACTACTGTGAGCTGATACATTGCAATGGTATCTTGCCATGGTCTCGACACACGCATAGACCAAATGCTTTCTTTTATGTAATTGTCATTGGTTTTATAGTATAGATATGACTCGAAAGACACTGAAGAATCTAAACATCTCTAAACACCTCTTTCTCAAAGTCCTTGCACAAATCATTGAATGGCAGCCATTCATCCTTGTCCGACTTTGCCCCGCCCTTCTCCGCGATTGGGCTCCACCACGCCTGCTCCACGCCCGCATCATCATGTACTACAGCAACGGGCGCGACCGGTCCCATGGCATTCGACTCGTACAACTTCCTAGTGTGATTAAAGTACCACATGCGATCCCAGACCGAAACGCGGAGGGACTTGAGCCCATCTCGATGCGCGTTGTGGTGGATCAGGCCAGGGACGACGCTCGTCCACATGTTCGTGTAGAGAGGAACATCGTTCCAAGACTTCTCATCGGGGAATTTGGCACCCGGAGCGACGACTGCGGGGCGGAATGGCGGTTGCGACTCGGTAATGTCTTGGACAAGGTCGTGAACGCGTACTGGCGCGACGTTGAGTTCAGCAGACGCTTGCGCAATGGACTTGGGGTCGCCATGTGTAACCCATGCTGAGTCTTCTTCTGCGAAGACTGTGGGATGACCAAGTAGACTGGCATAATCCAGTCCGATGCCAAACTCATCTGGCTTGCCAGCCTTGTGCTCGCGCAAGTGCCGCTCAGACTGCGGGCTAAGGATGCTCTTTCTCCCCGTTAACCAATCCCCCGTCTTTTGGAAGAAAGACCTGTGTCGTTGTCTCATGACCTCGCGTTGGAATTCCTGGTCGCCGAAAATCTCACTGAAGATCTTCTGGTCGCTGCCAAAGTTGCGGTCTTTGTCTGCCTTCTCCATGGCGCGTTCGAAGAGCGCTTTCATCGCGCCCACGCGGCCCATGGCATCTCCGGAGTTGAGGTACCGTTGACGGAACTTGACGTATGGGTTCTTGTCCCAGCCGATATCGGTATCTGTCTGTGGTCCGTAGATGTCTCCAGGCAGCGAAGACTGCGGTACAGCATAGCAAGGGGGGTCCTCTGGTTTCCAGGGCCAACAGCGCTTCTGCGCCGAGAAGACAATGTTCTGGCTTATACCCTCTGCAGCCGCCGCTCCGGAGCCCATAGTCTTCCGTATACGCGCATTCGCCGCGTTGTTGATAGCATGGAAGCGCGAGATCAACGCGCTGGGTCGCAGTTGAAACCAGATATCGTATCCATCCACCAGCAGCAACAAGTCGTCGTCGCGTTCCGGCCCAAGTTTACGCAGGTATTCGAGCACACCGCTGATCTTGGCTATATGCGAACCTCCAGCTACTAGCGATTTATCGTCAAATGTGGCGCCCCAGTTAATCAGCGTAGGGGTTGGATACCCAGCCACTGCAGCGCTGAGCATCGTCTTGCAAAGATTGACATCTTTGTGGTCTGCCGGGATGAGAACGTGGATGATGGAGGAGTGTTTCGCCTTGTTCTTGCCGCCAGATGAGAAAGCAGTAGGAACAAGATGGCGGTCACTGTTGACGGTAGTAATGAAGAGAACGACGAGTACAAAAGATGCTGCGAAAAGTATCCAGCGCCGGCGACTCCAGCCTGGTAGGCGCGCGACCGCGTCGTTGGAGAGTTGCTTGTACCCGCGCATCATTCGGAAAACCGTGCTGACACGGCGGAACTGTGAAGCTCACGTTGCGAGATGATGGTTGCGACAGCGCCGTAGTTGGCAGTGCACCTGCACCCGGCCGAGCGCATTATTCATGCTGGTAATGAGCTGTCACTGATGGCAGTTCGCCTTCTTAGGATCTAAACTTACACTTGAGCTAGTCGGATATCCCAGCCGTGCGGCGTCAACTCCGGGAGGTGGCGGATGGGCGTACACTAGTGGGTCTACTTGCCGGCACCATCCGGAAGAGGTGTGCCGAGATGCCACTAGTCTCTTTGGTGGCTTGGACCATCTGCTCGGTAAACTGCCACGACAGGGGCGGCGTGGCTATGTGAACAGGAGCGAAATTAGGCAGTAAGATTTGTGCATTCCACTCTTGGTGCCAGTTCGATGAGAGACTTTACATGTGATCGTACAGTTTGGTGTAAAACACAATGTTGGTATTAAGATTTAGTAAATTCAACGCCTGATGCTTCGCGATCAATGGTATATAGTGTCCCAAAACGAGACTTTCTCTGCCTCTCCACTGTACAACGCAGGTTCATGCGACTCGCAAAGAGATTTCCACGAGAGCGATTCCCCCTGGTCACTCCAAGCCCCCGACTTCTCCTCTGGCTCGCCTACTTTATTGTCGTACGGCATGTTCTTGGTCCACCGAACTCCATTGATAGGATCTGACCCAATCTTCTCGTCGTTTACTTGAGATGCCGCGCGTTGAAGGCGCTCAGCCTCTCCAGAGTACCACATGCGGGGCCACCAAGTGTCTCGAAATGACTTGTCGCCTGTGAAGTGGAGCACTGGGAAAGGCTGGCCAGTAACTGTGTTGAAACCCAGAGACACATCTCGCCACGAAGTTTCCTTCAAGGCCGGATCATCTGATATGGCAGCAAATGGCTTCCTTGACTGCAGCACGTCCTCCTGTAGATCAATCCTGTACGGCTCCACGGATTTCGATGATGAAGGAAGCGAGGATCGGTTCGTCGCCATCCAAGCAATGTAGTTCTTATACCCCGCAGCTGTTTGGAATAGGCTCGATCGATAGTCCAGCCCAATGTGATATTCAGTCACTTCGCCTCCCTTGAGCGTTGGTAGGTCAATTTCTTGAACTCCTTCGGGCATCCCGTAGGGCTTATCTCCATGCGATAGTATGCGCGCATACTCTTGATCACCCCATACGTCTGCAAAGTACTTCTGATCGGAGTTGCGCAGCACGTCTTCGGGATTGTACGTCTGCTTGATCTTTTCTTGAGTTGCACGAAACATCTCGCGCATTTCGCCAGCGGGCCCGATGATGGTGCCTGAGTTCAGCCAGCGCGGTCTTGCGTGATTCATATCACCCCATCCATCAGTGTAAGGGCCAAAAGCGTCGGGGTGAAGAGGTGAGTCAGGAACGACCCAGCACGCTAAGCGAAGAACATCTTCTGGCCAGCATACTTTGTCAGGGCCGAAAAGGATGCTGTTGTAAATCTTGTGTTTCCGCACATGGCTTTTGCCGTACCGGTTGACCAGCCGATCATTGGCGGCAGCCGCTTCTTCGAAGTAACGCTTTAGCAAGACATCCGGACCGAGCTGGAACGTAACATCGAAGCCATCCACCAGTAAGACTATGTCTGTATCTTGTGCGGGGGACAGACTCTCGAGGTAGCGAAGAGGACCCGCGATTTTCGCAAGGTGAGTTTCTGCAGCGTTGAATGCGCCCGCTCCTGCCCAGTCGATGAGAACAGGAGGTGGGTACAAGAGCACCGACGCGGAGAGAAGAAGGCGGCACAAGTCGAGGCCACTACTCGTAGCTACAATGAGCAGGTGAAGACGCGATTCTTGGATATTCGCGGTGAGTGGATCTTGTATCGCGGCTTGCCGTATGGTGTCGAGGGAGTTGAGATGTAGTGCAGTCCAGAAAACTACCAGGGTCGCGAAAACCAGGGTTCCGAAGACGAGAGTCCTAGGACGAAGCATGGCGCAGGTGTATTGAGCCACAGCCGTCTGAAGGCGATTATGATATGATCAGTGGTAATAGAGCGCTAATTTTAGGCCAGCCATAGCCCAGCAAAACTCTCCTTTGGCATTGATACCGTGCAGCCCCGTGGTCAGGCAGACCTCGGGAGCGTGGCGTCACCCATGGCAATCTCGTATGGTGAGCTGCATGATTGGCATAAATGGCATGATTCCGAAAGAAGTTGATAGAGCGAGGCATACTACCAGGATATCGGGAAAGACGGATGCTAGTGTCTTACTCGGATCCAGGCTCCAAGCGATCGGTTGGACGCACGTCTGGGGTCACAGAAGAATCACATGTGCACGGACTCTGTTCTCGCTAGAGTAGCGCGTCACGCTAAGAAAGCGCGACGCCATGTGTCATTCGCTCATCCACTTGCTCTCGCCTTGGACTTAAGCTCTATACTACTGTACCACGCTCCACCTGCCAGAGCGAGCAGGATGCCCGCGCCGTTCATCGGACTGACAGGCACGTCCCACAAGAAGGCTCCCAATACGATGGTTAGACATTGCTTGAGATTTGCACAGATGGTCAAGGTCAACGCGCCCGCCAGCTTGTTCGTCTCAAAAGACGCGACATTGAGGCCGAATGCGAGCAGGCCGTTGCCCGAGACTGTCAGAATCCTGTCCCTTGTAAAGTGTCCGGCGTTCACAAAAGCAAGAAATTCTGAAAACTCGCCAATGAGCACCGAGTACAGCAGAGATTGCACTGCGGCCAGGGGCCCCATGCGGAGGAGCAGCTCCAGAGCGGGTAGTCGCAGGCGCCCCGTCATCAAACGGTTGGTAACAACGGTCTATTTCGAGCTGTTAGCATCCTTCGCGAGAACGTGCATAATCCTTCGGGTATTACTTACCTTTATGGCAGCGAGGACCACACCGATGAGTGTCAGTGTGAATCCAATGGCGGTGAAGTAGTAGTCACCAAAGGTAGCCAGTCCGACGCCTAGCATTACCGGGACGATGGACAGATACGTGATCAGTGCATATCTTCGAGAGAAAATAACACGGTATATCAGAATGGTAAAGAGCGGGCATGTCGCTCGCATGATTTGGTGGAAGGGAACAGAGACCATGGCTCTTTGCGAAGTTATTAGCGTACGAAGATGTATGTAAGGTAATGGAAACTTACAACGACAAATTTGACATTGCAATGTTCAGCGTGAACAAGAGCGAGAACATGAAATGGACCAGATGCTCGCGCGGCGTCAGCCTCGTTAGCTGGAAATGCCCGAACATCAAGAAGACTGAACTTCCAAGAGCAGCACTTCCGGTATGTACCGCTGTGAGAATCCACGGGAACGGAAACTGGGTATCTCGTTAGCTAAATCGACTCCTCGTATCTGCTCCTGCTACATACCGAACCCATAACAGCTTTGTTGTAAAATGTGAGACTCAAGTTCATTATAAAATAAGTCGCCAGGTATATGAACGTCTTCGTCCTACTGGCAGCTGGCTCTGTAGGACGCTGAGAAAGCACATGCTTTCCATCTTGTTGGCTTTCGAGGTCCAGTAGCGGTTCATTCTCCTTGATATCCAGTTCAACAGGATATTGCTCATCGGTTTCGGCCACTTGGTTGGGTACAGGCTCGGCCTGAGCCATTTCGAATTTCTCCATGATGTTGTCGTCTTTGTCGGTCGACGTGAGGAAGGAGTCGCGTGCTACCTCGCAATGAGGCGTCTTGACAGTCTAAGGGGTGTTCAAATTCAGGTGGCTGAACCGGTATCTGATCCGACAAGTATTAGTTGAAAGAGATTATAGCGTCACTGTGGCTAGGGTCAACAAAGTCTCTTCGCGTCTAATCCTCAACCACGACCGGATAATGCTGCGGTTGGCCGACACCTTAGCTCCTTCGCATGCCTGTCTGCCCAGGACCCGCTGAGAACGGTGTGTGCCGTGTCACACGATAGATCCGGGTAAGGTGTGGCCGTCGGGGACCGGAGTTAACACTGCATCTCAAGCAAGGGCGAATAAGGTGTAGTGGCTGCACGTGTGCGCTGGCCCGCTGAAACTGTGCTGACCATTGACTGCGCCATGAAGTCCAACTAAGCCATAGTTTAGGCACAGTGGCTTCATCCGCTGTGATCATGCGTTGCCGGGTTCCGATATTAGCAGAATAGGAACAGTCCATATGAGTTAGTGTCCTGTGGCACTTGGCTCCTCTGCGCGTTCTCTGGGGCGGAGCGAAAAACTGCGTAACTCGCGGCGGAGCTTGGAGTCCTGCGACGGAACTAACTGAGAAGCTACGCGCATAGCCATAGTGGCCAAAATGCGAAATCGATGTCAAGCCTCGCCGAGTGGTGGAGTACTCGTGCTAAGGATTACATCACAAAGATAACATGCGACGTTACTAAAAAGGCCCCGGTTGACTTGGCAGGCACCCCATCAGTTGATCCTTGTGGCGCCCCCGGTACTTCCGTCACGCTAGCGCTCATCACCATCATGTCACCCAACCAAGCGTTTCCTAACCGTCCGATACGTTCAGGCCCATCCTCGGCACCAGTAGTTGCCAAAATGAGATCGTGTAAACGATAATAGAAGATGCCGATAGCCGTCCAGGCGACCATGAGGCTCTTCGGCCGCTCGGTCCGTAACTATGGCTGGTGGATACTTCATCCAACATCTCGATACTCTTGTGTACCTATAGGTATCCGGCTCACTTCCACAGAGAGTTCCTTGTCCTTGTCCCGCTCAATTACCAGGCATCCTGTTATACACTCGTTTTTGCAAACCCTCACACACTCCTCATGTCTAGTCACACACGGCAAGATGCGCCCACCTCAGCGCCCTCATACCGCTCCACCCATGAGCCCAAATTGTTCGGACGCATTACCAAGATATGTTGTATCGGTGCAGGATACGTGGGAGGACCGACTTCGGCAGTCATGGCGAACGCCAACCCCGACATCCAGGTGACGGTGGTCGATTATGACAGCAAGCGCATTGCTGCATGGCAATCTGAAGAACTCCCCATCTACGAACCTGGCCT